TGTACCTATGTCGGGCTTCACTTTATCTCCCCTCCCATTCCAGAAACAATCGCTCATCGGCGCCAACTATCTCTAAAATCTCCCCGGTCCCTAAACCGTGCACCCCTGCCACCCCTCCTCCGTCCACGGCTTCCATATTCCGGACCCTTGTCCACGAAAAAATCTGTGTCTTCAAAAGTATATTTGCGCATCTCATCAGTTCCACGTCGGGGTTTAGGTCCAGCCCGGTAAAGATCTGCAAACCTATCCAGTCGCTTTTCCGATACCTCTAGAGGGACAGGTTGATAATATAGTTTCGGCTTCGCAGCTGTGGAGAGGAACCGGTCATCAAGTGCCTTGAAGCCCTCTCCTGCGTATCTGGTGGGCACAGCTGGCGGTGCAGCGGCTTTGCTGTCCCGAAACATAGGACCGTGTGTTGCACGGGGACCTAACGGTGGCTCCCGACCTAGGTTTTGAGCAGGATCACGATGATGGAGAGCTGGAACTTGGTTTGCAGGCCCGACTTCTTGGAGGGAAGCTGTAATACCCTCCTCGGCCTCGTCGTAGACAACTTCCCAACGTGGAGCCCCTCTTGCGCCACTGCCTGAATCCTGTTCAATTCCGATCCATTCTTTGACTTTCTCTTCGGGGATGAAATCAACCCAGAGCGGTTTTCGTGTTCGCTCATCAGGCCAAATGGTTCCATGAAGTGCAGAACGAACCCGAGAGGCTGCGGAAACGTTTTTAAAAGTAACAAAGCAATGTGTTTTTATGGAGTCCAGGAAGAAATCAAGAACGATATCAGGGTCAACTGACGAAGTCGGCGGAGTTGCAAGGGACGCAAGATGCTTTTTGAGGACTGTAGGCTGTAAAGGGCGCATGAAATTGCGTATGTACAAAGATGTTGTTGCTGGGTGAAGCGCAGGCGACACAACGCGATCTTCATCTTCCTCTCCTGCTAGAGCTTTAGGAGATGAGGAGCGTGGTTGACCACCATTTACGACGGGGAACAAACCCTTGAAACGAGCATCTCCGGCCACTTGCTTGCTGACGTGCTGCTCCTCCGTTTTATCGGCATCGGGTTCACCTTGGGTTACAGTAGCTGGTTCCGTGGCCTCGTTACCTTCTTTGTGGGTAGCCGGTTCGGGCTGGGGCGCGGCTTTTTGCTCCTCAAGGCCTTCAGATACCTCGGGACCCACACCTTGGATCTTTGCGTCTTCTGGGGGAGTAATTTCCTCAGAAGCGACAGGCTTCTCAGCCTGGACATCCTCACCCAATACAGCTCTCGGAAATCCATCCTCAGCTTTAGCTTTCTTCAAAGAGGAGGTTTTAGGTGATGGGGGAGGGCTCTGACTTCGCCTTTTCCGTTTCCGGGAGTCTTCTACAGACTGCTTTTTCGAATCGGTTTTCTCTTCAGAAAGGGCCTTGATAACAAGTTCTGGTTCTTGAGGGGTGGCAGAAACAGCTGCCGCGGTCTCAGTTTCCGCTGGCTCAGTCACAGATTCCTGGAACTGCGCCGGATTTTGTATCTCTGGTTCTTGACCCGGTTCCTTCGCTTCGAGGGACGAGCCCTGAGCAATTTCAACTTCATGGCCAACTTTTACACCCTCCACTTCATCTTTCATCAAAATCTCCTCAGTTGGACCACGCGACGCAGGTTCCGGTGCTTCTGCGGTTGCTTGTCCTTCCGGTCCTGATTTTTCAGGGACCAGATCTGGTACACTGGATGGCTTTTGCTCGTTGACAGACACATCTTGAGTCGATTCAACAGGTTCTTTCGGTTCCTGCGCATGTTCTTCAGGGGGGGGGCTGAAGGGAGGAACTTCGGTGGACGGTTCAGGCGGTCCTGTAGAATCTGCTTGAAGCAGCCGATCGATGAAATTCTGCTTGACTCTCAGGCCAGTCTGGGGAATGCCACGTCGTTTCAGCTCAGCCTTCAAATCGGTAACTTTCCAGCTCGAATAGTCCGTCATGGCGACGAAGGGAGAAGAGGAATAATATGGAAATTATACAGTTGTGCAATGTGCGCGATAGTTTCGCATAACAATAAATCGGTACAACGAATGGTTAGCAGGCCATAGCTGATAGTTGTTGGTCATCCAGCGCGTGTTGTTGAAGTCGAGTCTTCGGGTGATGATGGCAAAATAATAAAGCAAAGTGACGCCGGGGAAATTTACCAAAAGGGACTAGCGCAATTATACAATGACATAATCAAATAAGCATAACTAGTTGATCACTAGGCCTCATTGGGAATAGCGGCTGGACAATCCAGATAATGGCTTCTAAGCCGCATCCGACTACTGCCAGGAACAGAAACGTAGATATAAACTGACAAAGGACAACAAGTGAGAGCAGAAATTGTTCAGCCAAGATCCCATTACTAATTACGAAATAAAATGGATAGGAGGCAAGGCGTCAAATGTTTATAATGAAATGCAATGGTAACGCTAATGCATCGCTCATATAGTTAATCAAAACCTCACTTTTTCTTACATGAACCATCCACAAAGCCCGTCAAACAACACGCCCAAAAATATCACATGGAACACCTGACTATGATCCATAGGTGTGTTATTATCGCAGACAAAGGCTGGAGACGGGGCCAGTCTTGTCAGTTGCTGATACCCAATTCTACACCGGTGATTGTGGTTGACTGGGCGGGGGAACTATGCCTCGAGGAACCGTCATAGGAGGCAGGCATGGTGGCTTACTCTCGCACGGCTGGGAATGTCGAGTTCCAAAGAAGAGAAGTTGTTGGGGTCTGGCAATTACCTTCTCTCCACAACGGGCGTAACAGGTGCTGTGTGGTAAGCGGTGGAGTCTATCATTTCTCCATTATTCGTGCCATAATCTGTGACCACGCTTGTTGCTCGTCTGCGACATGCCTTTTAACTTTATGATGGTCTCGTTCGGCATCCACCCAGGCTTCTGCTATTCCTGTTTCCTCTCTGGCATGATCTGATGCCCATATATTGTGGCATTCCAGTTTAATTTTCATTCGTATCAATTGGTTTCATCGCAATCCATTTGATCTCAATAAGTCCGGTGGTGGAATAAGGTTACACCTAGTCTCCACACATAAGGATGATCTATCCAACCCATCGCCTACATTCCCTTAAACCTCAGAGGATTAAAGTAATACCTTTGGGTTTAGTTGATTCGTTTGAGGACGTGAAGGGTTTCGGCGATCGGAAGATGCGAGCAACAGCGACGGAAGTCTTAAATATTGTGCAAAAGAACGCGGCGAGACTTGAATTTGAAGAATATGGAGTTTTGACGAGGTTTTCTATAATCTCACTTTTATTCATAGATGGAACTTAATGCGAATGCCGTTTATGAGCGCGGATTGAAAATTCCAAGGATCACAGCAACATGTGAGGAAGCCCCCATCCCCAAAAGAAAAAATATTGAAAAAATTAAAATGAAAAGAAAAAGAAAAACCACGAAAGGTGGTGCCGATATTTTGAGTTTTTTCCCCTTCCGTTGTTTCGCTTTTTCCGCGGGAGAGATAGAGGCGTCAAATTCCAGAAGGTAGGATAGAAAAATCGCAGCATCGGGTCTCTGGCCAGCCGTTGAGCTGATTTTGACATGGTTAGGCGACGTCGTTTTAACTACTACTTTCAATTACAATATGATATCGTATATACCGGATAATTTCACGTGAGTTGGAAGCATAACGTTATCCACGTACCTAACTTGAACAGAAAACTCTCTTTTCCCTTGCTGCACTTGATGTAATTGACAGGGAGCACTCTTCACCCCGCTGGAAAGCCCATGTCTGATGAATCACTTAGGCTCCTATGCATATTGAAACCGCCCTATGCCAACAGCTTAAGCCGTTCTGGAGCTCCACTGTTCAAATGGAGAGCTTGTCCCTCACTGGTTTAACTAAACACTAAAAACAACAATTCATCTGTCTCCATCTATTTTGACTATCTATAAAAGGTTCGGAGCGTCAAATATCGGATATCACTCTTTTGCAACGATTGGTGGATCCATTCGCCGTCATGTCCGCGAATTGATATACCGTTTCCACATGGGTGTGAACGTGAAGAACCTGCCGGATGTTCCCATTTTCATTCTCTACACTTGGCATAAAAGGCTCTCTCAAGGTCGGCTGAGGGTGATTCCATGGGCGTTTGCTCGTTCAACGGCTCTTAATCTGGGTTGGAGATAAATCTTTTTCCCTCTGCAACCCTGTTTAGTTTTTTTTTTTTTTTGTTGTTGAGGGGGGGGGGTTGGAAGAGAGGGAAATGGAGGAAATGTTTTCGAGTAATAAAAAGCAGTCCCATTTTTAAGGCCCATGTTATATTCAACTTGAATAAGGAACTTGAGTGAATTTGGGCGGAGTATATACAGAACTGCAATTCGGTAGTTATTCTCTATTCTATTGGCTACTTATTTAAACTTCAACGTTCACCTCACCGCTTTTTAACACGCCGGTCAAACATTCTTCCGCCTATTCTGCCGCCCCTCAAATCGCTGCGTCTGATTGGCCCGATATGGCATCATCTTCTGGGGGGTGGGAAACTTTGCCTCAGCTCGTCCACTCTTTTTCCACGTTTTTGTGTCCCGTTGCTGTGCCTTTTACCCCTTTCTTGTCATCCATCCATCCGTACAGACATTCCTCCACCCCTCTCATTTTCTTTCCCCCAGTCATAATTTATAAACCATCCAACCCCTATTCTCCGTGGTATCTAGCCATTCGAGGCAGATTAGTTGCTGTCAATCGCCTCTGTTTGCCCCCCCCCCCCCCCCCCCCCCATTTCCCCAAATATCGGAAAGGTTTTTCTATTCTTCCGTTCCCACCCACGGGAGGAAAACAGTTCTCCAAAAACCCCTTTTGCCGATGCTGTTTTCCTCTCTCCAAGCCCCCTTTAGCCCTTTTAAATATTTCTTTCTCCCACAGAAAAAAACCCCGGTGGAAATGTGGGCCCCCTCAAAAACCCCGGAGGAGAAAGTCTACTGGGACCCGCAAGAATCCTTTTGGCTTGGCCTTTAAAAAATCAAAAAAACCATCAATGCCCCTTCCTTCACCCTTGAATCCGGAGTCTCACTACGCAATGTCCCTGTCGCATATACAACAAGAGGAAAATTATCAGCCTCTCGAGACAATGTATTGGTCATATGTCATGCCCTGAGCGGCAGTGCGGACGTCAGTGACTGGTGGGGGCCTCTACTTGGTGGCCCTGGTCAGGCATTTGATGTCACGAGATTTTTCGTCGTTTGTTTGAACAGTCTAGGTAGTCCATACGGCAGTGCAAGTGCAGTTACAAGTAGAGATGGAGATAAGAATAAGGGAATATATGGCCCTGAGTTTCCGCTGACGACCATCAGAGATGACGTTAGGTAAGGGCCTCAAGGGGCTACCGGTAGTTTTTTTTTTTTGTTATTTTTTATTATTATTATTATTTTCATGGAGTGGGTCGGCTGACCAGTTCCTTTTTATTACTATTATTTCTTTCTGAAAATAGAATCCATAAACTCGTCTTGGATGACTTAGGAGTTCGACAAATTGCATCAGTGGTGGGAGGTTCGATGGGCGGTATGCTTGTTTTGGAATATGCATTTTTTGGCAAGGACTATGTGCGCAGTATTGTCCCAATCGCAACCTCGAGTCGTCACTCTGCATGGGGTATAAGTTGGGGGGAGGCGCAACGACAGAGTATTTACAGCGATCCAAAATACGAGGATGGTTACTACTCATTCGATGACCCTCCCGCAACTGGCCTAGGCGCAGCTCGCATGTCTGCACTTCTGACATATCGAAGTCGAAATTCATTTGAATCTCGCTTTGGTAGAAATGTCCCTGATCCGTCCAAACGGCAAAATATCAATGGCACATTACGTCTCCCTACACCACCCAACGAACACTGGGCAGTTCACAACGATGGCCATAGGAGTACTCGTTCTCCACCAGCCCCGAACAATTCAGGGCCGGAATCAAACGAGGTGTTCACAGATCCCCAGTTTAACGGTGCAACTCTCTTCACCGCGCCCTCGTCACCTACCTCAACAGCCCCTTCCGAACGTTCCTGGCGACCCACAACATATTTCTCTGCGCAGTCATATTTGCGCTACCAGGGCCAAAAATTCGTCAAGAGATTCGACAGCAATTGCTACATAGCCATTACGCGAAAACTTGATACACATGATGTCTCCCGGCATCGTGCGGACCCAGACTCCACAACCCCCGTTAAAGACGCCCTGTCTCAAATCCAACAACCCGCACTCGTAATTGGTATTGAAAGCGACGGCCTGTTCACCTTTGCTGAACAACAGGAGCTTGCGGACGGCATTCCTAATTCACGCCTGAAGAATATCGATAGCCCCGAGGGCCATGATGCTTTCCTCCTTCAATTCGAGCAGGTGAACCGATACATTCTTGAGTTCTTTAGAGAGGTCCTGCCTGATATTATGAACGCGTCTGGCAATGATACCGATGGTGTTGTGGATCATGTGGGCCAGTTGACCAAGAGCAGCACCTTTGGCGAGGCAGAGGTGGAAGATATCACCGCGTGGTGAATTTGGCTATTGGCAATTTCCGCGGATATATGTCTTGACGGAGGTGGATATTCAAGCTACTCTATTCTTGTTTTAACAACTCTTCTTTTAATATGTCTTGCGGGTATCGTAATACGGAGGTGTAGGTCAAAAAGTTCCAGCAACCCCCTTTCTGCGCGAGTATGCTTGGCTGTATGATGTTGGATCGCTCTTCCATAGTAATTTATATGTAGGGCAGCAGAATATTAACTTATTTGACAACTTGAACCTGTTAACTGTTTTGAGTTTCCGAGCTCGAATTGGGCAATCGTGTCATCATCTGCCCTGATAATTGAATCGTATAAGCGGTTTGGGTTTTGGGGAGTACCAACAATAGAAGCCTTTCTTCTGGTGATCCTGGTAGTTGGGACACGTTGGATCAAGAGGGCTTCCATCCTTGAGTGCAAGAAGGAGACACATTGCTGAGAGCAGTATGGGCGGGTCTTGATGGTCGGTGTTTCAATGACATTGAGCATCCGTTGGGTGCCACTGACTTCCCCGTGACCTGGTGCGTCTCGCGGCTTTGCAGCTGACCCAGATCCTCCCCTTCGCGTTCGACCACGAATGCCAGATTGCGACGGCGTAAAGGAAGGACGTGCGGAAGGAGATGCGGAGTGGGAGTTCATCGATCGGTGTATGCCTTCAGAGGGCCGGCGTCCAGATCGCAGCGTCATCGAGATGGGAGGAAGGTTACGGGGTCGCTTGCTTCGGTACTGGAGGACGCACGTTTTGTGTGAATGGAGTCTGCTCCAGTATTCAGAATACTGAGCTGAAGATGGGTCGTCCAGGATAAAAAAAACCAAGATGAAGGCTTCTCCAGTGCATATAGAGCCATAACGCACCCCTATGCAGACCATGGAAGAGAAGAGCTGAAGTTGTGACTGCGGCAATGAGCCGTCTTCAGCAAAAATTCAGTATCAACAGGAGTCCTGACCAATCACATCCAGAGCAGGACGGATCTCTTTGGCCAGTCCTGTGGTCATCTCAGCCTGCCTGAGGCTGTGAGGCGCCTTATATTCAGTCACAATCACAGGAATGTATTCACTACCCTCCTGTTGGTTAGACACAGAATCGATCTGCTTGGCAACTCCTGTAGCTAGAGTAGGCTCCTTCTTTCTCTGCTTGACTTTTGTCTTTGAACTTTGGCTGATGATCTGGTTTCTGTCACACATGGTCGGCGGACATTTGCCCAACCTCTTCACTCAGCAAATTCTTCTGTGAATCGAGTCAGATTTATATGCTCTCAGAGGAGACTGAACCTCGCAACCCGAGGGCCTTTCTTGAGACTCTCATTCTCAGTGATTCGGTCAAATATGGAGCTACTTGATTTTCCAGTGTGTCGTTCACAGCATCGAAGTTCCCATTCTGAGGTGATTTGCTTGATGAACGGGCGGACATCCTCAAGCTGACGTTTCGATGGAAACAGTTTTTTTTTTTTTTTTTTGCAAGTCCGAAATGACGAATTATCATTAATTCTCTTCCACACCATCATCTGCTCGTCAATGAACGTGTCCCATAATGTGATGTGTGAGGGAACCCTCTCCGATCAGCTGGCTCTGTTACAACACCATGGGGTTATTCTTGCAGGATCAGTCACGATGCGGGATCGAGAGCAGAAGCTCACGGCAGGTGTGGGGGGAAAAGTGTGGCCAATGTTTGTAGGCTGTGCGAATCTGCTTCTGCTTCTTCATGTCATCGCTGCCCCCTCCTGGCGAAGTTGTTTTCCCCCCTTCCCACCTTCACTTCAGTTCTTTCTCTTAAGTCGTCTCACTCTTTCAAGCGCAGCCAGCAGCTCTTGTTGTCTGCTCTCCATTCTGGTGACTGGAAGCGCAGTTCCCGCCTGTTCGCAGTGCAGTGATCGATTCCACGAGGATCCAGCCACAGCTTACCAACGGATCTTGAGCTAGAGAAATCTTGAAGTCCCATGAAAATGGGATCGTTGTTACACATCAATATCTATCTCGCTGGGAGGATGGTACCAAGGGAAACAAACCTTCGCACCTTGACAGAGCCGTGGGATCTTCCCGAAGCGGAACGGGACAACCTGGACCGCAATCAGGTTAGCAGTCTTACTAATCAAAGGTGTATGGCCAAAATGGCATCTGTTACCGAGACCACCTTCTTCTACCTGCGGAATCAACCCGCAATAAATGGCGATGTTTATTTACCAAAGAGCAACTCTGCAACTTCCCTTCTCCGATGACGTATTTTATCTGTAGCCGGCCTTGTGTTGGATCCAGTGGTCAAATTCGGAAGGGACTTATCTGGGGCAGATCAAAATTACGCTTGTGCAGGTCAAAAATCGTATATTCGAATGATCCTTCTTCTGCTTCTGCATTTCGGAAGGATATACGCAGTAACTAACTACGTATTGAAAAACGCCTGATGACCCTAGGCCCAAAACGGCAATTTCACCGCAAGCACTCGGCCGTCGTCCGTGCTTCCAACCACTTCAACACATTCATTCCCCCCACCCAGCAATTATTCTAAATATATATATATATAACTATACCATAGCTCTCCCGATGCTGAGTCGTGTTTCATTCCTCCTGTTGCTCCTCGGCCGCTCTTCGTGCGGTGACCTCATCCTTGATGTTCACTAATTTGACCAATGTTCCAACTTGCTTTTCCCCATTCCGATATTGGTCTATCTTTATCCCTCCCGGACTCGTGTAACTCTTCGCCTGCGCCTTCATGTCGCATTTCTCCTCCCCTTTTCTCTCGGACGAAGTCGCCTTTTTGTTCTATAGGAAATGCCAGGCCGTATTCGGTAGCACGCCCGTTACACCCAACAACCTTATTGAAATCTCGTAGGACAAATAAATGCCTTCATTAGGCTGTTGGCAATCATTTTGTTCATAGAGAGTAGACAACATGAATTCACCCAGTGAAAGCTTCTTCAAATAGCAAGTGATCGTGAATATTAACAGGTCATAACTTGAAGTGCAGTCTTACAATACTCTCATTAACAAGATAGACAGTTTATTCATTTTCACATTTAATATGTATTCAGACTTCATTCAATTTGATATTGAGTTTTAAAGTAAATATTTAATATATAAATAACATAATAACATAGATTTAAAAATTATTATATTTTATTATATTATTAATAAATAAAATATTATTAATAAAAAGGTTATTTTTATTTTATATTATAATTTTAAAAATTAATTAATAATAATAATAGAATTATATTTATTTAAAATATATATAATTAAACATTATAATATTTAATTAATTAGATTAAAATCTAGTTATTTTTATAAATTAATATATAAAATTAAAAAGTATTATAAAGATATCAAAAATTATATAAGTTTTAATAATATAACAATATAATTTAATTTGGTAGAAATAAAATAAAAAGATAAAATTATTACTTTTTAAATAAAGCAATAAAGTTAAAGGACATTATAATGTAATTTAATATTTGATTAAATTTAAAATTTAATTTAAAAGAATTTATATTTTAAAATATAATTCAAGTTGAAAAAATTAAAATTAAAATTTTAATATTATAAAAATTATTTAAACTATAAAATAAAAATATTAATTTTATTATTAATTATTTATTCCAATAAAATCTATATAAATTATACTTTATTATGAAAAATAAATATAAATTACTTAATTTAGATAAAAATATCTATTTAATATTTATTAAATATATCAAAAAAATTATTTTTTAATTTTAAAAAATATATAAAATTAAATATTATTTTTAATATTAAATTAAAAAAATTAATTAACTTTATAAAAAATAAATATTATATCTAAAAAATAAATTTTAAGCTTAAATAATATTTTTATTTAAGTATGTATAATTGATAAATATTAACTTAATATTATTTTATTTTATAAATTTTACACTTTTTATTAAATTAAAAATATATAAATTTATTTTCTATTATATATTGTTAAAATAATATTATATTTTAAAATAAATTTTATAAAAATATTTATAAATTTTTAAATTTTTAAATTTAATATAGTTAAAACTTAAAATTATTATATAATTTTTAATGTTTTTTAATAATAATTAATTAATTATAACTTTTAATTAAAATTTTAAATTATTAAAGTTTAAATTAATAAGATTGATATTTTTAAATATATTATTTTTAAATTTAATAATATAATATTCACTATTAAAATTATTTTATTTTTTAATATATATTTAAAATAATTTAATAATAATACTTTAATAAAGTTTCTTTTAATTTTTTAATTTTTTATTTAATAAAAAATTTTTATTTATTAAGATTTTCTAAATTATTATTAATAAATAATAAAAATATTTTAATTATTTTTTATTTTTTATTTTATATATTGAATTATAATTATATAAATTAATTTTAAATTTTTTCTATAAGATTTTTAAAATTTAAAAAAATAAATTTTTTATAAATTTTTTATTATAAATATTAATTAATTTATTAAATTTATTTATAATATTTTCTATTAAAATATTATAATTAAATATTAAGTTATATTTTAAACTAAATTATTATTTTTACTAATAAAAAATAAAAATTTAAATATAAAATTTATTTTTAATATTTAATATTTAAGTTTTTTTAATATAAAATAAAATTAATTTTTTAAAAATAGATTATTTAAATATTAATAGATATTTAAAAATTTTAAATTATATTTATGAGTATTTTTTCTATAATTTCAAA